TTTTTTTTTTTTTTTACAAAGTCTTTTCTTAATGCTAAGGCATGAAAGGGATAATTCGCCCCAATGAAAACTCTGTTATCATTTACTCACCCTCAAGTTGCTCCAAAGCTGTGTGAATGTGTTTTTAGATATACTGAAGAATGTTGTTAACCAAACAGTTTCTGGTCCACGTTGACCTTCATGTGTTTTTTGTTTGTTTGTTTCATACTATGAAAGTCAGTGGGGTTCATCAACTGTTTGGTTAACAACATTCTTCAAAATATCTTCTTTTGTGTTCAACAGAAGAAAGAAACTCATAACTGTAATGAGTAAATGATGGCATTTTTGTACAAGTCCTGTTAGGAGAGATTCCTCTGGAAATGAGAAGGAAACAATTAATGATCAATTACTAAATATATTTAATATATAAACAATACATATTTTTCTTAAATATATGCATGCATGTGTTTGTATTTATATAGATCATCCTACAAAAATGCTTTTAATTAATTGTTGGGAACAAAATAAGTTGTGTAGAAAAGTTTGTGTATGTAGAAGAAATGGAGGTAAATAGGTTTAAGCTGAGCCCAACAGTGGTGATTCCTGAAAATGAACCATGGAGTTATACAACTCCCCATATAGATTTACATTTGTTGGAAATTAAAAAAGCAGAAAGAGACGTAGACATGCCTTCAGCATTCTCTGTACATTTTAGAACACAATATCCTCAATACTTACAAATATTTACAGATGGCTCAAAAGATCCAGAGTGTGAGACAACTGGAGCTGCTTTTTTAGTTCCTGACTGGGCTCATAGTATAAAGCGAACATCCAATCATTTGGCAGTATATACTGTTGAAATGATAGCAATACTCTTGTCCTTGCAGTGGGTAGAGGATTATAAACCTGGAAAGGTTTTAATTTGTTCTGATTCACTCTCAGTTTTAAAAAGTCTAAGGTCTTTTAAATCCAGTCATCAAGATATTATTTTTAGTATTTTACAGATATATTCAAGATTGGTTCAAAATGATATTTTAATCAGTTTTATTTGGGTTCCATCACACATAGGTGTAAAGGGAAATGAGGACGTAGATAAGTTAGCAAAACAAGCTTTGCAGAGAGAAGAAATAGAATTACAAGTTCCTCTAAGCAAGTCTGAAATTAAGGTTTTAATCTGGAAAAAGGTTATTGCAGAATGGCAAATAAAGTGGGACCACATCGAAAAGGGTAGATTTCTCTACAATTTAATTAATGGGGTCATATGATGCTATTTTAAAGATCATTATTTTGTGTATTTGGTGTAACAGAATATGTTGACATGCTTTAATGTTCAAAAAACACATTATTTTTCAAATACAACTCCCCATATAGATTTACATTTGTTGGAAATTAAAAAAGCAGAAAGAGAAGTAGACATGTCTTCAGCATTCTCTGAACATTTTAGAACACAATATCCTCAATACTTACAAATATTTACAGATGGCTCAAAAGATCCAGAGCGAGAGACAACTGGAGCTGCTTTTTTAGTTCCTGACTGGGCTCATAGTATAAAGCGAACATCCAATCATTTGGCAGTATATACTGTTGAAATGATAGCAATACTCTTGTCCTTGCAGTGGGTAGAGGATTATAAACCTGGAAAGGTTTTAATTTGTTCTGATTCACTCTCAGTTTTAAAAAGTCTAAGGTCTTTTAAATCCAGTCATCAAGATATTCTTTTTAGTATTTTACAGATATATTCAAGATTGGTTCAGAATGATATTTTAATCAGTTTTATTTGGGTTCCATCACACGTAGGTGTAAAGGGAAATGAGGACGTAGATAAGTTAGCAAAACAAGCTTTGCAGAGAGAAGAAATAGAATTACAAGTTCCTCTAAGCAAGTCTGAAATTAAGGTTTTAATCTGGAAAAAGGTTATTGCAGAATGGCAAATAAAGTGGGACAATAACGAAAAGGGTAGATTTTTCTACAATTTAATTAACAAAGTAAGTCAAAAAATAAGACATATTGGTAAAACAAGGAAAGAAGAGGTTGTCTATAATAGAATATTGTTGGGACATTCCAATCTTAATAGTACACTCAAAATATTAGGGAAACATCCAAATGGACTATGTGAACAATGCAAAGTAGAAGAAACAGTAACCCATGCAATTCTTGAATGCAAGAAATATGAGGAAGAAAGAAGTAATATGATAGTTGAAATCAAGAAGAATGGAATTCAGGTGGTACATTTTAAAACTTTAATACAATGGGCAAGTGAAATAAATAGTAAATCTTTCTTTAATTTTCCTACAAGGATGGGATTAATAAGTAGAATGCATCTCTCTGTTCCACACTCCGGAGCAGAAGGTGGCGGTAATGCACCTAATTACGCTGGTTGCCAGCCGCCGTTAAAAGCCAAGAAGAAGAAGAAGAAGAAGACATTTTTTGTAAAGTAGGTAGCGCACCAAACCAGTAGATGGCAGTAATGCACCACGCGTTCCGCCTTCAGTTACAGTAGAGTAAGATCTGCACGGGCAGTATGGCAGCGTCCAGTAAGAAATGACTCCCCTTTAACAGACGGATCAAGCTTTCTGAGCTTCTAACATCAGTTTATGTTTGTACTTGTTTTCGTGCATCTGGTGTGAAATGTGGACATTACAGTTAGTGTTGAATTCCTCTTGAAATATATCAGATTAATTGCAGCTTTTTTTCCTACAGATTGTCCTTGCCAACTTTCTAGATCATTTGCACCGGGTATCAGTGAACTTTACTATTTCTATTTTATATATTTTAATTTGTATAATATATGGGTAGTCTTTTAATAACATACGTGATATAAGTTTTTTATTTTTTTTTGCAAAACTTTTTTTCTTTTCTTTTATTTTCCTGCACATAATATAGCCTACACATAACATGATTCTACAAAAGCGTGTCCCTATTTATGATCTAATAAAAAAGTTATAACATTTTAATTAGCTTTTATTGTTGTTGTTTAATGTAGTACGTTTGCTATGTACTTTTGTCATTTTTATTAGTGTTTTTTTTTTTTTAGAAACGGCTATCATTATTTCACAGTGTCATTCCAACCTGATTTATGTTTTATGGATTAATACAAATAAAATACAGGAAATAATTGTGACCTTGTTTTCCGTCTCTTTAGTTGATGCTTTAAAAACCCATCTGAAAACACAATGTCAGTCGGAAAGGCAGCTGTGAAGGTGGTGCGTTTAGGGAGGATGTCCTACCGCAGTGCCTTGAAGCTCCAGCAGCAGCACATAAAGCAGCATCTGGATTCGTGCAGCAGCAGCCCAAACACTTTATTACTGTGTGAACACGAGCCTGTGTACACCATCGGCATCAGACAGGCTCCTTACCCTCCTGAGGAGGAGCAGAGACTCAAAGCGCTGGGCGCAGACTTCTTCCGTTCAAACCGAGGAGGTCTGATAACGTTTCACGGTCCTGGTCAGCTGGTGTGTTATCCCGTCCTCAACCTGGCCTGCTTTAAGAAGAGTGTGAGATGGTATGTGTGTGAACTGGAAAGGATGGTGATCAAGATGTGCAGTCAATTTGGGATCGAGGCCTCCACTTCTCCAGATACAGGTGTCTGGGTGGGCAACAACAAAATCTGTGCAATTGGTAAGTAACTTTTTAGGTTTACTTTTTGTATTGTATTGATTACTGGTCAAAAATGTGGACACCTCTGTATGTTATTTATTATTATTAATTTGTCCATTTTTGAACAATATAGCATCAAAACTGAAAGAAAACAATTACACGTATTGGAATTGTATTTATTTTATTTTTTTTACAAAAGTAAAAAATGTCCTTCCCAACTATTAGATAGATAGATAGATTGTTAACCACCACTGTAGTATTTCATTAACTACACTATTTGAAATATTTTTATTCACTTTTATTTATAATTATTTATGTAGCGCTTTATAAAATAGAGATAGTTTCTAAGCAGTCATTTAAAATAGTATATTTTATGTATATGTATATATTATATATATTTTTAAATGTTTTTATAACCAAGACTGCATTTATTTGATTTTTAAAAAATAATAATAATAATTTTGGTGACGCATTTTTACAATTTAACTTGCTCCGTTTCTATTTTAATAAATTGTAAAATATAATTCAGTGTCACATATTTCCGCAGAATTCACTCTAATATGCTGATTTGGTGCTCACAAAACATTTCTTATTATTTTCGATGTTGATATTTTTGTGGAAGTCATGATGCGTTTCAGGATTTCTTAAAATGAATTTAACGTTCAAAAGAATAGTATTTATTTAAGTTTTTTTTTTTAAGATTTATTTGTAACAATGTAAAAGCCTCTACAGTCACTTTTGATCGATTAATGCATCTTTGCTAAATCAAATAATTAATTTCTCTAAAAAGAAAAAAAAAATCCTTACTTGATCCTAAACTTTTGAATGGTAGTGTTCCCATGAGCATTTCATTGTCACAATTTATTTACATTTCACTGGTCTCCTAGAAATAGTACAGAATATTAATTTCATTTGGTTATATCATTTATTTATTTAAAATGATAAAACAGGTTTATTTACTATTTCCAGGTTTTAAAAAAAAGTACCTTTTGTCAGCAAAATAAAGGTAATTGTTGTGTTTTGCAGGTATTCATTGTAGAAGATACATCACCTCCCATGGACTGGCTCTTAACTGCAACACAGACATGAGTTGGTTTGACAACATTGTGCCATGTGGGATTGTGGGTAAAGGTGTGACATCACTGAGCCGAGAGCTGGGGCGGGACGTCCCAACTGAGGAAGCCATACCAAAACTGCTGGAAGCCTTTACTGAACAATTTAACTGCACTTTAACATATAATTAATTCATGTATACATAATGTCAAGTGTTTGAATATGTGCTTGTATTGTTATTAAAATTATTTTAACATTTAACATGTTATGTGTGTGGCGTCTGGTTTTCATGATCATACATAAGACATACGCATTGCATGAGATCAGCAGGATAAAAATATCCCCGATAGGCTTGACTCTTGATTTGATCATGTAATTATCGTGAATTATTTACAAAACACGTTTTCTGGAAGTGGATGGATACAGTAAACACTACTGCTTTGCTGACATGGGACACATGAGTCTTGAGAAAGAAAACTTGAATGAGATTACCAAATAATATTATAACATAACAAGAGGATATTTTTGTGTCTTCTGTGTATACATATTATTTTATCTTTTTATTGTTATACTGTATGCTGTTGTACTGTTCAAAGCTTTTGGTAAGCAATTTTTCTATATATTTGTATTTCTTTTTTTAAATGAAATTAATACATTTATTTAGCAAGAATGCATTACATTTATCAAGAGTAATATTAAAATGTCTATTATGTTACAGTATATTTCTATTTCAAATGAATGATGTTCTTTTAAAATTTCTATTCATTGAAGAATCCTGTAATACTAATAATTCGTTTCCAACAATAAATAAATAAATGGAGCAGCAAAACTTTGTTTAACTGTGATAATCAGAAATGTTTCTTGAGCAGTAAATCATATTAGATTGATTTCTGAAGGATGATGTGACACTAAAGACTGGAGTAATGATGCTGAAAAGTCAGCTTTGATAACAGGAATAAATTACATCTTAAAGGGGACCTACTATGCCCCTTTTTACAAGTTTCAGGTGTCCCCAGAATGTGTCTGTGAAGATTCAGCTCAAAATACCCCACAGATCATTTATTATATCATTTTGAAAATGCCTATTTTGAGTGGAAGTAGAAATACGCATTTGTGTAAATGCAAATGAACTTCCCGCCCCCTTTTCCAGAACAGGGCTGTGCCTTTACAGCTCGTGCCTCAGATACTCTGCCAAAAAACATCTGTTTGGTTTTGATTATCAGAGGAAATAAGGAAAGTGCAAGTAAATTACAAAAAAAAAAAAACTGTAATAGCAATATTCTTTGATGTGGAGAAAGCATATGACATGCTGTGGAAGGAGGGACTCCTAATCAAACTACACTTAATGGGAGTTGGGGGGAAATTGTTTAATTGGATTATGGATTTCTTAAATGGACGGAATGTACAGGTGAAAATTGGGTTAGATTTATCAAAGCAATATGCTGTAGAAAATGGGACACCACAGGGTAGTGTGATTAGTCCAACTTTATTCTACATCATGATTAATGGAATCTTCCAGGGGATATGGGAAGGTCTTCGCAGATGATGGTGCTATATGGAAGAAAGGTAGAAATGTTGAGTATATATATTAAAGAAGATGCAAGAAAGAATTTATCAAGTTGAAAATTGGGGAATAAAATGGGGATTTAAGTTCTCAGTGGAAAAATCAAAGGTAATGGTTTTTACAAATAAAAAGAAGGGCAAGGAAATTAAGTTGGAAATGTATGGAAGTATATTAGAGAAAGTAGAATGTTTTAGTTTTCTGGGATTATACTTTGATACAAAACTATGGAGAGAACATATAAAGTATACAGTTAATAATTGTAAAAAAGTTCTAAATGTGATGAGGTGTCTTGCAGGGTTGGAATGGGGAGCAAGTATTTCAGCTTTGAAATATATCTACATTGCTTTAATAAGATCTAAATTAGACTATGGGTGTATTGCACATGGGTCAGCAGCAAAGTCTGTGTTAGCTGAATTGGACATTGTGCAAGCGTGCGCTTTAAGAATATGCTTAGGGGCAATCAAAACTTCCCCAGAATGAAAGGTTGTAGGAGGTGAAATGCCATTGTGGCTTCAAGAGAAACAACTAGCAGCAAATTATTGGATAAATCTTAGAGGGCATGAGGATAATCATTCAACAAAAGAGGTGTTACAGAAGTGTAGGGAAAAGGAGAGAAGAAAGTAAGAAAGATTTGGCTGAACATGCAATTTAATTGCAAAAGAAATGGAAGTGCATAAAAGATTTACTAATACTGTAGCCTATTTAAACCAATATGGACTTCGGAAATCCTGAAGGTTGATCTAGAGCTTCTATCAATTAAAGTATGTAACAGAAATATAGATATAATCAGTGAATAGTATAAATACAATGACAATAAGTATAAAGACAGTATTCAGTTTTTTACAGATGGGTCAAAAGATTCACAAATGGGTATGCGGTGTACATCCCTAAATATGAAATTGGAATTAGCAAAAGAACATCTGAGAGCTTAAAGTCCCCATGAAATCAAAATGAAAGTTTTTTGGGTGTTAGTATCAATATGTTAGTCTTAAGGTTATCTATAAGGCAGCGTGCTCCAAAACAGTGACAAAATTCGCATTTATATGATATAAGCATTCAAAGCTTGCAGTTCGTCACTTCAACTATTTTTTTGACGTCACATCGTACTTCATCTTCTCATCAAATCTTCTGACCAATCAAATGCTCTCTAGAATTCGAAGCGCCCACCCCCTGCACTATAAATATATATATGTTTATGTGCTATACTAATTGCATTAGAATGGATTGAACAGTCCAGGGATGTCAACATGTAGTCACTCTGTATAGGCTCTTATTAGTATGAAGTCTGGAAAAGCTAGTAACCATCAAGAAATATTATATGAAATCTTGTTTATAAATTCAAGGGTATGCAGAAGGGAAAACGGAAAGTATTACATATATGTGGATACCAGCACATGTGGGCATACAGGGAAATGAGAAAGCTGATAAATTGGCAAAAGAGGCAACAAAGAAAGAGCATGTAGCCATTGAAATTAAATCAGAAAATCTAAATCAGAAGGGAAGAGTCTAGTGTGGAAAAAGGTAATGGAAATACGGCAACATCAATGGGATCATGAAAGTAAAGGGAGACATCTATACATGATTCAGAATAGACATGATAAGAGAAAGAACAAATAGAAGGATTGAACAAGTTGTAATGAGTAGACTCAGGATTGGGCATTGTAAATTAAATGGAACTTTCCATATGTTAGGAAAACATCCCACAGACCAATGCGATGAATGTCAAGAGGAGGAAACAGTTTTTATGTCATGCAGGAAATTTACACTAGAAAGACAAGAGTGGAAACATCATTAACAGGTTTGGTGGTATGAATCCAATACAGCTAACAAAAACTCTAAATAAGGAAATTTGTGTGATAAAGAGTGCTACAATACTAAGAAATGGATCATTGCTGATTATAAGTAAGGATGAAAAACAGCAAATGAATGTAATCAGAATGAACAAAATAAATGGAAAGAAAGTAGAATGCTCTATGACTAATGATAAAAATTTGTCAAAGGAGTTGCCACAGGGATATCGGTAAATGTATCAGTAGAAGATGTGAAAAGAAATATAACAGTGAGGTCAAACGTCTAAAAATAAACAGGAACGGAAGTACATATGATAGTCTTCAGTTATGATCTCTTTTGATGACTCCCGAAAAAGATCAACATTGGATACATACCTCCACCACTTAGATGTTTTAAATGTCAGAGATTTGGACATGTGGCGGCGGTGTACAAAGGAAAACAAAGATGTGGTAAATTAAAACAAGTATGGCAAATGTGAAGAGGCTGAAGTGCAATGAGTCATGGTTGTTCAGGGAATCAGTTATGGAGAGGCAGCAAAGAAGGTTTCAGGAATTGTGACAATGGCTAAACAAACTGAAATTAGGAACAAAAACATAGATAAGTGCCAAAAATGGGCAAATATGAACTCAGGCTTCAAAAACAGGGGCACCATTCACTGCCATTATACAGCTTGGAAGAACCAGGACAATTTTAAATATAACTGCGATTGTGTTCGTCTGAAAGAGGAATGTCAGATACGCCTAGGATGCCCTGAAGGTGAATAAATCATGGGCTAATTTTAATTTTTGGGTGAACTATCCCTTTAATCTCCAGGGACAAAATGAGTCACATCCTGTCAAAAATGTATTGAGAGAATGCTGGGAACATAATGAAGCAAATTTTACAAGTTTTGGATGGACAGGCAATGCGAAGGCAAGAAATATAGAATTGCATCAATTACAGTTCAGTAATACATTCCTCCTTGGTTATTCCCTTTGCCAAATGTTGACCTCAATATTCAGCAGGAATTGAAATGCAATTCTAAACAACTTCCAAAATGGTTCCAGAATTATTTTGAGAAACATTACCCAGAATCAGCGTTCCCTATCTGTCGGTCACTACGAGTTATGTCGTGATGACATTAGGGGTCTAATTTGGGAGCCCAATCATCTCTGAGTTTAAGAGAAAACTCCAAGGAAAACTGGCTAGTGGATTTTGCATGCTGAGCCACTCCCCGTGCACACGGGTATGTAAGGCGACAGCGTGCCTCCACCATTCAGATTTTTGCTTCGGAGCCAAGTAGTTTATGTCACGCACTCACTACAAAGCCATTCATCTTTGTGTTGAAAGCGGGCTGTTCCTGGTTGGTGTTACAGCACAGTACAGCGGTGTCCCTGCAACAGTGGTTCCCCTGGGCGTTTTGACTAAAAGAGCAATTTCCTCTAAAAGAGCAAATCATGGACGATCACGTCTTTTTCAAGATGCCGTTTCGTCAATGTCCTTCTGGTTGCGGTCGTTACCTGTCCTCTGTCGATGGCCATGATCGCTGTCTTCAGTGTCTGGGCATTCAGCACGCTGAAGCGGCGCTCGTGGATGAGTCATGCGTCTATTGTGGGCGTATGACCATGGCATCGCTGCGATCTCGTCTCTCCCTCCTCAAGGGGAGTGGAGCAGACCCCTCTGTCACTATCCGTTCCGGTTTCTCTGCCACGAGCAGAGGACTGCTGGTTAGTGTTCTAGGACAGTGGTTCCCAACCACATTCCTGGAGGCCCCCCAACACTGCATGTTTTCCATGTCTCCTTAATCAAACACACCTGATTCAGATCATCAGCTCATTAGTAGAGACTCCAAGACCTGAAATGGGTGTGTCAGACAAAGGAGAGATA